AACATGTCACGCGCGAGTGAATACGGAAAGTTTGACAAACTAAAAACTTTCACACAATGAATTGCAAATATTCTCCCTGCTTAAAAGTGCTCAAATAAATACAAACAAAAGCTAATTCAACTGGTTTATTTATCAAAAAGATCATTTTATCAAGCTGGCATCAAGATACCAAGACTACACTTTCTCAACAAATCGACACTGAGGTCTCGAAATGCCGAAAAAATAGAGGAATATTGATATAATAATCTTCAAATCTCAACATCTGCCAGTCATTTCATAAAATCTCTACTTACAACAAACTGATTCCCATTGACATTCATCCTTAAAAGGCTTTTCTGATCGAATTTTCTGTCGAAAACTTCGCAAAAACAGGTGGCGAGAATTCAGCAACTAGTGTTGTGTGACAAGATGACGTAGACCAGTTGTCAGTAGAAAGTCTCTCAGCCAATCAGGAATCACACTCACGATATGGCTAAAGTACGGTATCACGCCAGAGGAGGGTGATCAAGTGTCACGTGACCAATCTGACCAATCACAGTGAAGCAAAGAGATTTTCACAAGAATTCTAAGTCGAGTCAGAAAAACTAATTTTTTAGGATATTTATCTTTTCATATTAAAATTTTTAACGCATCGTGTAGGTAAAAGACCCAAGAATGACCGGGTAAAGTTTCATTATGATTTAAGCAGTACTTTTGGATTTATCAAAGTTTTTCTTCCAGTCAACGCTTTCGCGCCTTTCTAAATTTTGCGTATTTTACCCTAACTTTCACGAATTGTATTTGCTGAACTAATGGATGAAATGAATATATTTCAATTTCTACGCATTCTTTGACTCATCAAAAACAAGAATCCCTGCGTGAACCCCCATGAACCCGGTCTAGTTTTCGAGATATTTTGAATTTTCAATGAGCAACTATATATAGATTTACGTCAATATTGTTGTCACGTCGGCTCATACTCTTGGGTATTGTGAAACTTACTGCTAAAGTTCTAACCAAATTTACAGTTCATTGATAAATATCGATAGCAAAGTTCTTATATTTTAGTTTATGATGTAAAAATATCTTTAATTTGAAGCAAAAGATAAATAAAAACTTAATGACAAAACTCAACAGTGTTGTGTGATCGGACAAAGCCGCAACATGATGAACCCAAGGTCAGTGATCGCTTCGCAGTCTTGACTCAAGAGGTTTGCTAGTATTTAGCAGTTCTTATCAGTACTAAAACTCTTCACTGAGCTCTTAACAACAAAGATAGAATTGCTCTGTAGCTTCAAGATGACCACAGAGCAGACGGTAGGACGATTTAAACGTTTACGGCGTCCTGCCAGGAGTCGTTTACTCGACGACGGTCAAACTCAAATGAAGTTGTAATCGTGTTTAGTCCCATATTGCTTTGCGGGCCTTGATCACCCTCCTCTGATATCACGCGAGCACCATATTTACCCAATCAACGATCGAACTTATGGTACAGCTTACGGTACCGTAACGCGCGATACGGCAAGTGTCGGCTTCATCCAATCAACAATCGAACTTACGGTTCGACAAACTATGGAACATACAAATCAATCCAATCAGGTGTGAGCAGAAAAAATGCCAACAAATCAGAATCCAAGAATACGATACAGCTACGATACAGTTACGGTACGGACGCGATTCGTCATYGCCGTTTCCCAGTCATACGAAATCGCCTCTAAATGACAGTTTAGCTCTAAGCCAAGAGATGATAATGCTGTAGCACATTTGTTTCTTCTTGGACACCCTTTGCGCTAGATCCTAGTACTGCTAGTAAGTAGCCTGAATAGGAACCTAAACAGGATCCTGTAGGATCTTGAATAGGATCTTATACAGGATCCTGACAAGATCCAGGTTAGGATCCTATAGGATAGATTTGATCACAGGAACAGGATGTTCTTTAGAATTACCCGGCGGTCACTTTTTTCTATTAAGCCAGACAGTGACGGAGTATTCTAATGTCACCCTGAACAGGAAACCAATCACAGCTCCCATTATAAACTTGCTCAATAATATTATTATGTTATCATTATTATTATATATTATGTCCTTTCCTATCATTCCCAAATTTATATCTTGTGGGCAGCGGATTTTCCCACATCTAGTACTTTCTTAGATTGCATAACAACATCATCAAATCTAAATAACAACACTCAATGCAATTACAGTTCAACTTACTCTTTGGTGAGACACTATAGTCCTAGTGCTTTGAGCTGCTCTAGCGAGTACTGTAATAAGAGAACTTTGATCATGAACATGCACAAAACGAGACGACACTTGACATTATGTGAACAAATATACTGATTTTTTCTGTCTAACACAAAACATTTCAATTCTTGACTTCAAATCTACTCACATTGCTGACATTTTATCCCCGATAACCTCAAGGAAAGCATTATTATATATTATGATGGAGTAAATTATTATTTTTTGTCGTAATTTTGTCAAAACCTCACTTCCACCATGTTCTTGACACGCGTGCGAGCCCACGTAATTACATGGCCAGCAGCTACCTAGTGCCCAGGCAGCTAACGGCTACAGGGACCCCAAGTGTGACCAAACTTTCAAAATGGCGGCGGAAGTTCATTGATTCTTTATCACAGAATTTGGCCAGAAATCACCGAAATGGTTAGATTTAGAAAAGTTACTATTTTACAGATTATCGAAAAAAATTATTTTTGCCATTGTTACACTTAATTATAAGTAATATTTGCATCTCGTTCCGCAGTAGAGCTCATTTTTTTTGACCAATTATATTTTATTTTTAGACAGAGTTTACWATTGATGTTCACTCAGACCTTGCCTGTCCCTGGTGTTATGTTGGCAAACGTCAACTAGATCTTGCGATCCAGCAATTCACCAGTGATAATCCCAATGTTAACATAACAGTTAACTGGCATCCATATATCATTGATAAAAATACGGCACAAAATGGCGAGGAATACATGACTTATAACCGTAGACGATGGGGCAGCGATGGCTGGACGAACTCCTTAAGAAATGCTGGAAAAAGGATTGGATTAGAGTTTAGGAATTGGAAGACTTGGCCAAATACAGTCAATGCCCATCGTCTTGTGCATTTGGCTGGTCAAAAGAATGGACCTAAAGGTCAAAATATGGCCAAAGATGTTCTCTTTCGAATGATATACGAAGATGGCAAGAACATAAGTGATGTCCACATTCTTGCAGAAGCTGCACATGAGCTTGGTCTAGATGATGTCGTAGGATATTTGAACTCAGGGCAGGGTTTTGATGAAGTTATGGCCGAGGATTCCCATGCTAAAACAAAGCTAAGGATTTCTGGTGTTCCTTTCTTTATTTTGCAAAGTAAAAAGGGCCAAAAGAGTCTTTCTGGAGCTCAGTCAGCAGACAATTTTGTCAAAGCATTTACTCAGCTTAGCGGCTCATGAATTGTGATCAGCCCACATCATGTTTTTTTTTTTGTTTTAAACTGCCTAGCTGTGAATACRATAATTGTGCTATTTACAGCCAGCTATTTGATTGAGGTCAATAAACCCGTGAAAATAGTTTGTAATGTAACCAGTGAGATTTCAGCTGAACTACAAGATCAGACYGAGAGCAGGCTGGCATCACACTAMTTAGTATGAAAATATATGAATATGTGCATGGCACGCATAGCAGAATTCTGAGATACAAATGACATGAACTGTTACTGTCAGTCTGGAAACTCCTTTTTGAYGACAGTTGAACAAGCRACAATGCATTTGAATCTTGGAATAYACTACCGTATCTTCAGAGTCAACACAGACATGGACGCTTATATAGCTATATCTGAATAGAGCWGAGTCACTTGAACCATGAAATAGAAACTAAATACTTAGTTACTAATAGRCACTATTTAGACACTATCACTGAACCAGAACAGTACAAAGAGATTACTTTGATTGTTAAAGTGGTCCCTTGGGTATTGCTTATTGGATCAAATAAACTGTTCTGGTTCAGTGYTAAYGACTATTAGGAACTAATAGTCCCTATTAGTTAGTACTTTTTAGTTCTTATTTCATGGTTCATGTGACTCTGCTCTAATAGAAAATAGATGAATAAAAAAAAAACGATAAACAAAAAAACAAAACAAAACAACAAYAGAAAYGAACCAGAACGAGGCAAAACAAAATAAAATAATAATACTAAATAATTCAAAACTCATCTTCCTGCGAGTGTCAATAACTTTTAATTGAATATAAAATCAGCACCATTTACATTCAGCGTCTATATTTTCTTGTCAAAAGTACCAATAAAACTATACGTTCACCAAATTACAAAATACTCTATTTATAGCAATTTACAAAGCAAATTCCAGTTATAAAAATATATATGTATATCCAAAGAGAAATTGTATTTCGTCAAGCAAAATCCTTGATGCAAGGACTCCATAACACATTTGATATTCAGATTTTTTTCTGCTTGAATTACGATTTTAAGAACCTAAAAAATTTTAATGTCACAAGTATTTTGATGCTTGTAGAGATGAGCTTCTCGGTGCCTTCGTCGACATGTTTCGCTTTACTTTCGTATTGAGCGAAATCTTCCGAGGTCGATACGAAGAACCAGTTCGTTTGAATGGCATCGGAATCGACATGTCTTTAATGGCAGCTGGTAAAGATGTTAGTGAGTTGGACAAGTTGGAACTACCATCAAGGGCTCGTAAGTCATCGCTGCTTGAACTAAGGTTGATTGGTTTGATGGCTGAAACTGAACTCACTGGGTTCGAATATTTCAGGTCTTTCTCAGGGATGCCACCTTTTCCGTAAACTTCGAGTACAGCTTCCAGGAACTTCATGAACAGTTGTGCACGGTTGTTTTGCCCACTTTGTTCCTAAAACAGAAAAAAGCATACACAATAAATCTATTAATTCTCTCTCTCTTCTAAGGGAAAACCCTCAAAAGTAAAGAATACAAAAAAATCTCTTGGACGATGTTTAGTCGTTTCATTCGTTAACTACCTTAAACTTCGTGAAGTGATGAAATCCTGTAAAACCAAATGCTGCAGAGAATAAGAGATAATGTTTACGTTAGAATCGCTTTTGAAAAGGTTACATTGGCAAACGATTTTCCCGTCACAAACATTCACTAGAACAAAACACTTGAGAAATATTATGACCGTCCAAAATCAGTACAATCGGTGGACGTATCCTCAAAACATAACTCAACATGGTTACATCATATCGATCACGTGTATTTTCYGGGCTACTGTAACATACTCACAAGCCAAAAAGTTATGTCGGAGAATGTCCTCGGTTGGTCTGGTCGCCGTGACTGAATGAATGATTGTTTGAACTGCTTGYAACGTATCGACGTCATCGGAGTGACCAAGAACGGTTCCAATATGGCCGTCGAGGTGGTAGTAGCTTCATGAAAAARGTTKAAAAATYAATATTTCGRATTTKTYCKATTMGAAAATAAAGATCACACTCGATAAGTGTYATTCCATAGAATTYCTCCAAAGAGTATCTCAAAGGTCCTTAGGCAAAGTCCTTTCTCGAGACTGATTGTCGTTCCAACAGTCTGGTAATTAGTGTACTTACATGACAGGGAATACATTGGGATACATCAGACTTGCTTCAGCTAACAATTGATAAAGATAACTAACTTCTAAATCACCAGTCGTGTGTTCCAGCAGCATCACCTGAGGGGATCACAACCAAAAACAATTAAAGTCGAACCCTCTATTAAGCGGTAAGCTCGGGGAAAGACCACGGATGGTTTCTTAATAGAGGTCAATAAACCAATTAAAAATCAAAGGTGAACCAGAACTCAAGTCATGTAAAGACCCCTGAGATCCAACAAAACTACTGTCAAGTTTTCGTTTTTACTTCCAACGGTTTAATGGCAAAAACTGAATTCCACTTTTCTTTGTTGTTTGACTGTTTTCTCTTGTATGAAGTTATGGTAGTATTTGTTCTTTTTTTGTAAACAAATGAAAATATGACTAGAGATAAAAACAAGCTCTAGTTGAAGAAGAACTTGACGATCAATCTTACCAGTGTAGTTAGTAATAACGCTTGTGTTTTGTTGTCGTTTACCACACCAGGATCAAGCAGTAGATGCTGACATTCGTTAGGCCATTCAAAAGCATGCCCCTCGGGAGGGACATCATCGATCTGGGGTGACTGAGACGTTGTAATAACGATCGAGACACGGCTGTCCATCGACAATGACGATCCACCATTACTGCTATCGCTCTTWATAGAGGATCCCCCAAGGGGACAGGGGTCTGGTGTACTCACTGTAGCTCCTGGCTTAAGACGACTTCGTATGTCTTCTGATACAGGTATTAAGGCTGAAAACATCAATCCAATATTAGGACGTAGAATCATCTAAAAAAATGTACGATGTGCTGGGGGTGTTAAAGGCCGGGAGAAGCTTAGTTCAGATCAGTAGAGTTTTAAAGGGACAGATGCGTTTCACAGAATATCCTCGTGGTGTTGCAATACAAWGCACTCTTCACAAATAGTGTTTGACTGAGGGAGGAAAACCAGTGGAGAAATACCCTCGGAGCAAGCAAGAAAACTAAAAAAAACACAAACTCAAATATCATATAGTCCTGGACCGTGAATCGAGCCAGGACCACATCGCGTCGGTGATAGACCGCTTTGAACATGTTATAGCTGTTGAGCCGAATAGCGGTCTGGGAATATTGGCTCCAATGCAGCACAAATATTGGACGCGTTCACAAGTGAAAGGTTATTCGTTTTGACTCACCTCCTAAATACGCTAGATTTTCTTTCGTTACTGCAAACTTATTCCGACTGGAAACAGAAAGATGGCATATTTAGCGTGAAGCACTTTTAACATACGATTTYAAAAAAGGTTGTTAAGGCGAACAACGAATCCACTGAAAGTTATTGACCGTGTGGATTATTGATGGCAATATTCCCTCATAAGAGGCATCAATAATGTTTTTTTCTATCAAAAAAAGGCTTTCAATGATGATTTGTTTGGTTTATATGCTTTTCAGCAGACAAGTGATTTTTTCCATMAAAAAACGAATACCCACACTAACTTTCGGTCGTGCAATCGCCGTTACGCTCTGACAAAATTTTTTTTAAATAGGTTTTATTTAATACTGTAGAGTAGAAGCCGACTGGTTATAGGAGACCCASTAGCCCTTATACTTGAGTTTTGATTACTCTAATTCACTATAAATTCAATATGAATATATCGGGCAAAMATTTTYAGCGGACAATTGGTATTCAAAATGGCGAGGTTCGTCAGTTCCGTTTCCCCCTCTCCCACTCATGTTAYGACATKTATTGCCGAACTACCTTTGCTTGTGTTTACTTGTGATATCCAACATCAAGTTTAAGATACGAATRGCTCTTGCTGATGTTGTTGCTTGTGGATGGTAAACACCTTAAAATAGACGATAAAATTCTATTGTAAAACTCTAGAACAAGTAAGCTGTTTAATGATTGTAGGAAAACCTATGAAAGTTTATTAATATATAATTATCAATCACATCTTAAAATATTGACGATTCTGCCTTCTTATCGTGTCTTYCCCCTCTACACATACTATCTATATCATGATGTGATTTTACGGTCAGCGGTTTTCAATGTTTGCAGTATGCATGTAGTACGGCAATCTCCGTTTTCAGTCAAAGAGATTGAYTAATCTATGTAATTGGTCACTTCCTATCACTACAATAATTGTCGATCCGTTTACAYGAGTAACTTTAAAAGAACTGCAGMAAAATTATCACGCAACGATTGCATACCAAAWGTTACTTGAACATCATAATTTAACACYSAAAGCATGCATTCCCTGTAAAGATCCTTACCTTTAACCAAGTGCGCCATGAGAGCRAAATGGAAGTTCCCATARAAACTAACACCAACAAAATGATCCATTTGTTTGCAGTGAAACTCAAGAGAAGGTTCCCTCCTGACTTCCATGAGTACTTCTTGTACCTAAAATAGTCGAACAACTCGTTACACAGTCCTGACAAAAATGGGCGAATACTAAACTTATTCAAATGACTACTTAAAGATCACTTTACTTACAGCTTGCGATTCAAACATCCCATGAGAATCCAGTGTGAGAAGACTGTGTTCCAGCAGCGTAAGGCCACATGGGTATAATGTCAACTCTGAAAGCTATCATCAAACGGGGAAATAATGTGACKCAGCAATTGCAAAGCAATTCATTGTTTTCGTAAACTGCAATAATTGCACATGCAATCGCAAAAGCTTGCTYACTTACCTGCAATACTGCTACTGCGATCCAAAAAAATGCCTTGTGGAATTTTGACTCCTTTGTGTAAAGAAACCACATTTCAAATTCAATWCYGTGTCAGGTGAAAATAGCYGTGCATAATATGAGTGCTTACCTTTCCTAAGATTCCCTGGATTCTAGTAAGACACATGACTGACGATTCGATGAGTACTAGATCGGTGTAATTACTGAGCGCCTGTCGGAAATAATAATAATAAAAAAAAAGAGAATGATAGCCGGCAATCAATATTTTGGTTGACAAAAGACAATACAAGGCTGCAGGGAAACATAGAAAACTCTTGTTTTACCTGAGACTCTTTCTCAGTTCTTTTGTTCATTACCAATCAAACAACATAACGAAATTGAACTATGAATGATATTGCTTTGCTAGGTGTGTCGTACCAATTAATTGAACAGGATAATTTTATGTAAGAACTTTGTTCAAAGAATTGGCAGAGCCAAACTACAACGTATAACTTCTTACTCCTTACTATATCAATAAAAATAAAAATAAAAATAAGAACGTAACATTCCCCTTACCACAATCAAGACATGTAGAAGCCGCTGTACCATGAAATCGCCGGCCTCCTTACTAATACAACCCAATACAACAATATTCCTTGGCTGAAGGGCAGGATTAAACTGAAACGCGAATCTACAACACAACAAAAWCATGAGTYGAGCCACTGCGCACAACTGAAGGACAGWAGGATATAAACAAAAAGGAATAGTTATATTTAATTATTTTCTTACTCCGTAGCRAGTTCTGTCCATTTTTGTAGCCATGTACAGTCTGGTATGTCCTTCATGCACGTCTAAAAGACGAGAAACAAAATAAATACATGGAAAAGGGTAAAAACTGTAAACTAACACAGGAAACTAAAGTCTGCATTCTTACGAAGAAACAACAACAACAAATACAAAACTACAAATACTATGAAAAATCTACAACAGCAACAAAAACAACAACAACATTACTATCAATACATGTGACAATATGACAAAGAAAAAAGACCATAGCAATCAACAAAAAGACTGGAACGTAACGTGACAAAACTAGGTTCAATGACACTCAATTAAAGATACTACATGAAAGGAACTTCCCTTCCATCATCCAAAGACTTGACAAAAGCACAACAATATGTTTTAGGCAAAGTCTTCACAAGACAAGAAGGGGGTACCTCCATGATTTCCAGTAGTGCATCGGTGACGGTCTCTACTGACATCATCGTCATCACCTCCCCCTCTGTTTCTCGTAGATAAAACCGCTGGCCACGCTGAGAGGTTTTGAAGGCCTTGGCTGCCGCAGACTTGATTTTAGAAATACCTGGGAAACAAGAATTATGCAAAATTCTGATATAAATCTCCATGTTAAGGAAAGCCTTCACATGCTTAATATATATTAGATTTTATGGAGTTGGGACCGAAGTGGTTCATGAGATGCTATATAAATCCTTGGAAATATAACAATGAGGCGATTTGCATACAAATACCACAAGGCTCTAAACTTGTGGATAAACCGAAGGCTTTAATCAACAGTGTTCTCTGAGAAGGTGAACATACATACCAAACAAGAGATAGAACTTTGGCGATGATAGTTCTGCAAGCTTAACGCGAAGAAGTGTTTGAGTATCATCTAAAAAATAAAAAAAGAACTGAAATTAGATGAATAAATGGGAATTTTAATATGGTGGAACTTCATTGTGTTCATAAATAAACGCAATTCAGTGAACAAGTAAAGCCTCGTTTTCATTACGCTATAAGCATAAAGGGGAACAATAGTTTGGGGATTTAAAAGGTGCCTTTCTTTGGTTTTTCTTTGATAAGCTTATTCTTGGCCATACACTTATTGCTATGCTTATGCTGATGTCTATGCTGCACGCTTGACTTCATTTCTTTTTGTTATCGGCTTATGCCTATGCTTATTCCCTAGTTAAAACCAGGCTAAAATATGCAACGTATTACTATCTATATGGATAGTTTAGCAGCTCTGTGAGCCTCGGGTAGCAAATTACTCACCACTGAACTTRATATATGTACATGTACACAGAGAATGAATAATATTGATAACCAGACCATGGATTGACGCACGTATTGTAGGTGGACCAGTTGATATAAGAAGAGTAATCAGATGGAATAGAGACGGGATATGACTTGCCACTGAAACAAAAACAAACAAACAAAAAAAAAAAACGGTACAGCGGACGCACTAAATCCGGGAATTAAGTATTACTACTGCTAGACACTGGAAAAAATCGCGCGCTTTAAAGGTTGTAAATTTGATGTAAATATGATGTTAGTGTCCAAAATTCTGTAAATTTGATGTAAATGATTTCCATTAAATTTACAGAATTTTGGACACTTACATTATATTTACACCAAATTTACAACATTTAAAGCGCGCGATTTTTTCCAGTGAGATAGTGTTGATTAGATGGATCCCTCCCCCACCTTGGAATTAAGCAAGTCGACCAATGAGCTAGCCTGCGTTACATCCAGTTTATTTTGGCAAAATGCCATATTGCACGCACAACAATTGTCTCGTTTCGATGTAAGGCACCGAGAGAAGAAGAATAAGGCTACTGAAGGAGACTACTGATTAAATATTATCAAGTTTTTGTCAGTTACTTTTTGTCAAAGTATACGTGACGACAGTTAGATAATTTTTTCAAAGTAATCAAATCATTCCATTTTTATTATTGACTGAGTAAAGTCGTAAGTTGGATAATGATGATGATGATGATGATCGTTATAACATCAGTGTGACTGACATGATAATAACGTGTGGAAAACGATGGTGTAGTATTGGGATCTCTTCCTATAAAGTTCCATACCGTCCAGGCAGTCGTTAAACGAAAGCATAAGAAGATATCTTGTAAGAATAGCAATGTCGTCCCACATTAGATGCTGCTCCAGTCGTAGTGTTGGAGAGATAAACGTCTTGCTGACGAGCTACAGATGGCAAGAAATACCGGGTAAATAAGTGTGCTTAATTTTTAGGAAACAGGCTCATGGAAGATCCCACTGGCTTCTAACTCACTTCCATTAACAACTGTTCTTACACATTTATGTTGCAAAAAGGAATATGTATTATTTACTAAATGCAAAATCTATCACAGAATGAAAGGTCGTCCACGAACCCACTTGTTTGTACTCGCGAAATTGATCATCTCCATCAAAATCGTGCCGTTGGTGCTCATTTCCCAAGCACATATTCATGGTACAAAACCCTCGAAATACGCGGCTGCATATACATACCGTGTATAATCTGCCAATGACTTTACTCGAGACAACCTGAACATTGGCTGATGCTAAGGCTGCAGCAGTATCAGCCAAAACCTCTGCCTTATTAGAACCCAAACCACCAGAGGCACTAGCCTGTTAAATAAATAATTATAGATGTGAAATAAATCGATTAATTCAGTTTAAAAAGATTTCACTATCCAAGCACAACCGAAAACCGACAACTATAACGAACAGCTAAACATCACCTAGACTCATTGGCCACCTTAGCACTCTAGCATCAGTCTTTAGGAAATGCGACCACCTCTAAAAAAATATCCTTTTCTACAAATTGCTTCGTTTATTAAACGGCAAAATCCCACACAAAGCAGCCAAGGAGGTCTCTCGATAATATATTTACGGCCACGATGGACCTCTCCTTGATATATCAATTGCGATAAGCTAATTGTTTAATGTRCAATGTAATTACTAATTGCGTTTTACCTTTAGAAAACTATCAAGAACAGTGTCCAGTAACTCYGTTACTTTACCAATCATTCCCCAAATGTTTGCTTGTACTGACGGATTCATTGCCTTAGTAAGAGAAACAACTTGGTTACATAAAGATTAAGTTATTRTATCGTGTCTCAGTCGTTCAAAATGATTTTTCAGGTGAGAAAAMAGGGCGTGGCAATGATAACCAACGTTGCCTTTTTAGGATTATTTTGGGAAATATTTTTTCTTTATATTTGTTTTATGTACCATGCCGAACCTCATCTTTGATCGATTAATCAGTGGATGCCTAACATGATAAATTACTAAAAACCGACTGACCTTAACTAAACGAATGAAAAAAAATTCATAAAGAACAACAGACAGCGTAGTCTCCTTTGCAGCCTACCCTTGTGGGACAGGAAGCCCGACAAAATAGTGGGCAGCCAAGGAGATTATGTGAAAATTATGCTTTAAATGTTGATAGACTACTTTGAAAAATAGCGGACCAATTGCTAAGAACCAAGTATCTATTCATCAACGAAAAAAAACAACAACTTTTGGATTGTTGCATAAACAAGACACTAGTCAGCAAAGAAAAACTGCTAGTCAAAAACAGCCTACCCCTTGTTCGGTAACAGTTATATTGATAAGTGAATCCAAGATATTGTTCATCTTTATGCGCTGTGCATCTTTAGAGGGGAATTTGAGAAACCGTGTTAAATTAGGCAGCCACGGTGCCATGTACTCAAGACATAAGTGCTTTAGYTCTGTGTTCGATTTCATGAATCCATTGATGCACTCCTCCAAAAACTGAAGAAAAGAAGGAAAAGCAAGTGTTTAATGTAGAAATTAATAATAATTCATCGACTACACGGTAAGGTGCTATAAGACCACTGTATAAGACACCAATTTTACCTCTAAAGTTAGCTTGGGCTCCCTGGCAGCCAGCTTCTCACTTATACTGACAATGAAGATGGTGTTATTGGCTGGGATGCACAAACCTAGAACAAAAACATAACCAAAACAATAGTGGAAAGATATTATCTCGAATACACACTTTGAGATGAAAAACAAGTCTTCTTAGACTGCTTAAACTACAGTATAAATTACTCGCAGCTATGAGAAATAGTGTGAAATGTAATCAGTCAAATCCCGTTCGCTTCACTGCACGTAATATGTTTTCCTTTCGGGAAAAGGCCCTGGGAACAAGTTTTCATCAGTGTCCCTATGAGACATCTTTTGCAGATCATTCAGGTAAAGGATGGTAAAGGAAGATGAAGTAACCAATCATCACTSTATGCTATGAGATACCTGTGCCTTCAAGAAGTCTTTCTTCAATCTTTAGATTAAACGCCTTTGTTACTGCACACAGYAAGTTATAAGCCGCAAGACGAAGACTTGAGTCTCTCGAACCAAGGTTCAGTAGAGCCTGAAAATAGAATCAAAAACAGCTGTTRTCATTTCCTAAGAATGATCAGATTTATCCTCCTCCGCATGCAGCTCTTTAATATCTAAACTTGTTTTACCAGGGAGTGTGCTTGATACGTCTTTTTTCATAGAGAGACGTCTGCGGAGGAGTCTACAATCTTCTACTGAATAAATTTAGCAACCTACACCCTAGTCATACGTTTCTCTTTAACAAAGGCTTTATAGACATTATAATTGATTTTTAATTTTAATCCGAATCCTTTAGTTATATTGACATGGGGCCATAATGCTAAGGCACAAAGCAGCTAGAAAATACAGCAAGTTTGACTGCTTCAGAGTCTTACCATGTTAAGAAGAGTCCCYGGTACATCTTTTGGCTTGATTTTCTTACTTGATGAAGTGGCTGCATCCTAGTGTTGAAAAGCAAGGGTACAGTCGCACAGGCAGTTAGCAGTGTATAGCAAAATTAGACATTGCACATTTCTTTGCTATTGACTCACTGCCGTACCATGAGCGTGCGCAGGACGTTTCAAGACTATGATCAAGGGAGCTACTAATAACTTTTACGAGAATTGGTTTTGATTCACACCGAAAGAACTGTTGAATCATCCGAAAATGTATTACAATACTGATTTGTCAAATCAAGTCTCATATTTCAAAGACTTCATGGAAGGAACTACGCAACCCCTAGAACAAGTTACCCTACGCATGCCGTTGCATAATCTTCCAAGTGCATAAAAGAGCATTTCCTTGAAGTATATATTTTGKTTTTACCGGTTGTGAAAGTTGCCATCTCGTCTTGACATGCATAACTGCTTCTTCTATTTGATGACATTCGTTGCTTGCAAGAAGAATTCCTGGTCCCCCGTTAACAAACTTTAATATAATGGTTTGTTCATCTTCTACAACAGCCTGGAATAATAGAGATATATAGATTGCTTTCTCTCAGTTTTACTCACTAATTCCTAGTATGTTTAATTAYTTCTTATTTCTAAACTATATATCGTTATTTTACTATGYCATATCAATGCTTTTCTAAGGAAAGATTACATTCAAATGCATTAAAACGCGAATAAATGCATAGATGAAATGAAGAATATAAAAATTGTTAAAGGAGTAATGAAATGAATAAAATAAGGATGGATAAATGAAGTATAGGAAAATAAACGGATGASTAATTTAAACACTGTGTTAGCCTCAGTCTTGTGCAAAATATGCAGAAATTTAGATAAAAATCGTGAGATTTCAAACTATTTACATTGTCTTCTATACTAATGGATCTCGTACATTTGCACGGACTGAATAAAATTATATCTTACATGGTTTTGAGGCTAACACCGAGAGGAATTAGCTGTATAAAGGTGAACTCGAGAAAAACAAATCACGATTACCTCTTTGACTTCGGATGCATAGTACACATCATTGAGTACGGTAGAATATCCTAAAACCTTATGTCTCTCAGGTGTCGTAATCTGTACCGACATCGGACCAACCTAATCAATTATCAATTAATCATTAACTAACATTAATTATTTTATAACATTAGTTATTCATATATTCAATAGCAGAATGTTTTACGTAGAGAGTCACTGACATACCTTTATTTGTACATTACTTCTTGTTGACAGACGAAAAG